CTGTAGAATTATTTTATGGCATCCATCTACACGTTGTACAAGCAGATTTGATTTGGCTTTTTACTTTTACGGAAGGTTTTAGAGGGGAAGGTAAATTTTAGAGGTGCTTGTCTGCTCCCCAGCGAAGCGGAGGCGCCGGCTTGGGGCGGTGGGAAACTCTCTGCTCCGGGCAAAAGGCGTCTTCGCTTTGCTCTGCGTCTCCTGCTGGAAACCTGGGTTTTCTTCAGGCGTGTAAAATGGTTTGGGGACTGTCCTAGGTGCGATTGGGCTTATTTCTTCAAATAGGTCTTCGTTTTCCTGTTTATCTGGGAATTATACGTTTTCTCAGGAAAACCGACTATTCACCTTAAAGTACCTGAAAAATCTCGGGGCATCATCTGTCCGGGAAAGCTACGGGACGTGCATTCGCGGCCGTAACTATTTTTCGTTAGGTAAAACGCAGGAGCCTGTGAAATATATTTAAGATAATTTTCAGGAATTTTAATGCAGGGGAAACGCAGCTTTTCTCCGATAGCCTCTCTGCTGTGGCGTTTAAATGCAATTAATTCGGGAAACACTTGACCAAAAAATGTTCTGCCTTTTGAAATACAAAAAAAAAAAAAAGGGGGGGGGGAGAGGATGCTATACTTTTAATCTCTTGGGCAACTGTAATTTTAAACGAAATCTCAACATGATGCTACCCTCATTAGTTCCGAATGAAGGTTCATTACCTAGACAGTATGAATATTTTATTGCTTTATATCCCTTTTTCGGAAATGAAACGCCTTTGATCTTTTTCTCGGGTTGTAAAAAGAATTGCCTGTCATTAAAAAAAAAAAAAAAAACTGTCGTCCCATCTGCCTTTACATTCTGTATTTCTTTTCATCTGTTTCTTTCCTTTTTTTTTATAATTTATCCGCACACGCCCGTATAAACCCAAACCTTGGTTGACCTCCAAGAACGAAAAATGGATGAAATCTTGGCGCTGCGTCTGAGAGAGCAATTACGAGGGTTTCAGGATGGAGGGGGACGGAGCTATGGCATTTTGCTTTTAAACGACGATTATTTGGATTCGTTGCGCGTCTGCACTTACATGTTCAGCCCAGGAGCTGATATATTATTATTTTTTTTTAGCACAGCGGTAAACTGATGCGGGAGGGACGGAGGGGAAGGTGGAAAACTTCTAGTTTGTCTAACCTAGTGTCAGCTCTTCGGATACCGAGTTGGTGCTTTAATTAATCGTCTTTCCTCTGAAGGGTGAATCTTTTAACCATCTTTAGATTAATTCTTGATCTCTCGAGTCACAAAACTTCCCCCCGCCCCCCTTCCCCAGAAGATAATTATGGCGGTAGGCGAAGATCTCTGACCAAGGAGGATGCATCTGTCTTCTATATGTACCCTGTAGATCCGAATTTGTGTAAAGGAAGTTGGGTCACAAATTCGTATCTAGGGGAATATGTAGTTGACACAAACACTACAGGTCACAGTCCCAGAAGGCATTAAAAAAAAAACCCAAAACAACCCCCAAAAAGCCACCCACAGCCCCAGAACCCTAAATAAAAGGGTGAAAACAAGGTCTTAACCAGAAAACCGTTTTATAGCCGAAAAGAAATACTTTGGATTTGACCTTAGCTCAACTCCAGCGCTCCTGCGATAAACTTTATCATCACTTCGAGATAAAATCTGAGCTGGGAGGCTGGGGGGGGGGGGTT